GGTCTTCCTTTGCTTCTGGTGGTCCGAAATCTATGGGACTGCCCGAAGGATTCTTGCTCACGTGCAATTTACGTATCACATGAAACTTTGTTCTTTTCCATTCGATGTTCTAACGATCTGATAGTTTGTTGTCAACTGTACCGGAAGAACTATTACAAAGCGATAGCATGCAACATGGCTTGCACAAAACAACCCACAACTATGACAATGAATGCAACCGACTTTACATGAGAGACTCCATCACTATGAGTGATAAATGATGGCGAAATAGGTGTGCGAACAGAAGCTATGCAAGTTCAAAGTGTGAGGCATCGCCGGGACAGAGGACCATTGAACATGTTGAAGATGACAGTACTAGCGAAGAAGGTTTAACCCCTACCTCAAGAACCAATAACCGCAGAAAATTGCCTTCTTTAAAAGCAGAACCACGTTTTTTTTATGATCTGTGCAAATGCATCTTCAAACTGCGAGGATTTGTTGGTCAATTACGACTGTTGTACGGGTTGATGACGGATTCTTTGTGCTCATGCAGGACAAGAGCCGGATTTTTAATTGGCAGCCCCGGGTTATAGGGCAACAGCTGACTGAAACCCGAGTTCCCAGCTTCCAACCTGCAATGTATTCCGTTGAATGGTTTAGGGTTTTGGGTTTAGGGTTTAGGGTTTTGGGTTTAGGGTATACTCAAGTTCATGGTATTAGCATGAAAATAAAGACCAGGAGAAAGCGGCATGCAGCCGAGGCTGTGTAGGAAGAAGGCTGAGCAGAGCGCCAAACAGTTGGAGCCCCCACACTGATTATGTAGAAGAGCTTTCTGTGTTGGAGATATTCCCAACATACATTTAGAGTGTGCCCCTCCTGTTTTTCGTTTGAGGTCACCATTCTCCCCTCCCCGCTCCTGTTGCTAATGATTTGCGTTTTTGAAACGTTTCTGCAGGTAGTGCGCTTCAATCTGCACGGTGAGCCAAGATCCTAAAAACCCTCAAGCTCTGAATTCCTGAATCCTGAATCCCCGAAAACCCTGCAGCCCGAAACCTTGAACACCATCACTTTAAGATAACTGAAGACCTGTAATTGTTCTTTTGAACAAAGCCCCAAGCAGCCGAGGTTTAAGTACTATGCCGACTATGTTCGTCACCAGAAGGCTGGAAGTTACCTTTGGTTAGCTAGGAATGAAGGAATGGATCCTTATAGTCGTCCATTTGTACATTCTTGTAGTTTTCATTTATTTTTCCATTCCTTAATTTCCACCCCAGCCCATAAACCTTTAGCGCTGAACCCTATAGTAGATTCCATTTTATTGTCCATTCCTTCATTCCCAGCTAACCGGAGTTTTGCAAAGTGGAGGGTCCGAAGCGACCCAAAGGGTCCTATAGTGAGCACAATTTAGGGTTTGGGGTTTAGGGTTTAGGGTTTAGGGTTCAGGGCTTAGGGTGTAGGGTTTAGGGTTTAGGGTTCGGGGTGTAGGGTTTGGGGCATCTCCATTGTGGGTTGTATGGGGGTTAATTCTAAGAAACAAACCAACTGTACGGCGCTACAGCAGGGAGTGGGTCGCGCTGTATCTATGATAACGGGTAGTTTCCCAAAATAAGGGGACCCCAATATAGACACCAAAATACTATAATCCTTATTATAGGGACCCCCGAAAAGGTACCCCCAATTTTGGGAAACACCCAAGGGGTGACGAGATTGGCACTCGGTGTTGCCAGTTGGTCGCAGATAGACCGGCTCACTTGTTGCCGTGTTTTGGTTTTTAAAGACTGCTGATGTTGTAAGACGTGGTGTCAGGGTTTTGCATCAACATTTTGGGTTTTGTGTGCTCCTACTATAGTCCCCCTTAAGTAGATAGAACATGGCGTTGGGTCTGTTATAATAAGATCCCCATATACCCCATATTCTATCTACTTAAGGGGGACTATACCCTAAACCCTAAACTCTGAACCCTAAATTGTACTTTCCATGTTCTTTTCCATTATCCCTATACAACCCCTATAGTACCCCCATATATACCCCTATATGCCCCAAACAGATGACCCTGCAGCCCGCATCATGAAGCAAAGTGCTGCCGTCACACACCACCAAACCACGTCATGGCCCCCTCATACAAGCCCTAGGGTATACAGGGATATGCGGGGGTAGTATACGGGATATACAGGGATGATGGAAAATACTATGGAAAGTACACTTTAAGGTTAGGGTTTGGGGCTGGGGTTTAGGGCTTAGGGTTTCCTCCCGAAGCACACCGAGGAAGCCCAAACGGAATTAACCCTTAAGCTCGCATAATGGCCCAGAAGCCACCACCAAAGCTTCCAGCCCATGGAACCACTTGAGGCACCTTTCAAGGGGGAAATGGCAGTATTCTGGGACTCTTTTTGATGAGGATAAGGCTAGTGGGCCGATCCAGCATGAATGTCGGGTTTCAAAACGAACCTCTGCATAATCCCAATGCCCATTCGTTCTACGGGCTATCTTCCATTGGGCTCAAGGGCTAGTTACATAAGTATGAATCAAACTTGTACGGTTTAAAGGACTTAAATCCGAATACTGATTCCCATCCATCGTATGATTTTGACCGAAATCATAACTTAGGGCCCCCCCTTGTCATAAGGAACAATGGAAAAACATGCAGTCATAGGTGCTACAAATCATAGTGATGGGGTTCATAGGTAAAGTTATGTATAGCTGTATAACCAGGTTGTACCACCCTGTGTCATAAGGACAAGACGGACCGTTTGAAGCGGGCTTCGAGGGGCTTAATACTAGCATTTCCATAAAGTGTCCATAAAATAGTGGTACCTTTTGGGGGACCCCATAGGGAGGATTATCATACATTGGATTCTCTATTCTGGCCCCTGCAAAAGAAGAAAGCCCGTATCGAAGGTCATGTAAGGCCTACAATGCAGGGACCACTCATTTGATCTTTTATTGGGCTTGGGGGGATGGAGCCGAACTTTGTGCGTCGAAGGTTGCCCCAGCGGGTGATGGTCATGATGCTCTGATCTCATGATCTAGTTGGGGTCATGCAGGACTTTGTCCATTATTGGTATGATGTTACCAAGGTCAACAAACTAAGCTTAGGTCAGGGTATCTCGTTTGGAGTGAAATGATTTCAACAACCGCAGGTGAACCCTAGGCAAAAAACGTTCCCTAAACCTCATCCTCAACCCCCCCCCCGGAACCCTTTTTCCCGGGCCCTCCGTAGGCCCTTGAGATCCCAAACCCCAAGCAAACCCAACCCCTACCTGGACCCTCCAATGTAGTTCCTTTTTGGGTTTGTTATGGTTTTCTGGTTAGGACTCTTATTAGGACTACCAAAAAGGTACTACATTGGAGGGTCTAGGTAGGGTTTAGGGTTCCGGGATTTACGGTTAAACTTGCCCCTGGCCTCCCCAGTCGAGAATACCCAGGTCAAGCTTGCCTCACGCACAGGCTGCATGGAGATTACCCTGCGTAGGGGACCCCAACATGGGCCCCCAAAAAATACTTTAGCCCTTATGAGAGGGACTCCCAAAAAGGTTCCCCTAAGTTGGGAAACTCCCGCATGGCTGATCTCCAGACTGCCCTATTAGGTGGGCAACAAACTGGATTCACCATCTCGGGAACTGAGGGACTCGGACTACTTACCACAAGGGTTGATTTATGAGCTATAGTCTGAACTCCGTCAAGGGGGTTGTATATGGGGGGTACAAAGGGGGATACTAGGAGTTTANNTTAGACTATAGCTGTAGCTCATATGTGCATGCACTCTCAGAAGTCCAGAATTCCCTGGTCCGAAGGTCGACCTCTGGGTTTTCTACACGGGCTATCGCACCCCCAAAGTCCTTAAGTGGTTGCCGGCCGCACTACAAAGTTCTGGGGCGGGGTTGGAGGGACTCAAGCTTTTCTTGAGTCCTGGAAGTTGTTCTCCCAATTTTTCATCCATTTCGGCAATCCTCCTTTTTCGGAATGACCATCTTGGGGCACACTTGAGGGCCGGATCCTTCATCGGGATATTGCTTTGCAGCGGGAATCTGACAAAAGCGTCCCAAGATGTTCTCTCAAATCTCCGGACCGTCTTGATCACGTAAACCCCCTGCCGATGGCCCACTTTGCCATGGCAATCTGGACCTATAGACCCCCTCCTCAACCCTGGACCCACCCCAAACCCTGAACCCGGGCAACGGGAGCGGATAGAAGTTTAGACCCAGTCCCCACTGATATTGGACACTGCTTCATGTGCGAGGGCGGGTGAGACCACAGGGATTTAGGGCTTAGGCGCAGGTGAGCCCACAGCAAAAGCAAAAGCACGTTTTTTTTTTTCTTTTTTTTTCTGCTTAAGCCTCTGAGCTTACCATGGATACCTTGTGGCGTGTAATTACGAAGCCCGCAAGAACCAAGACAGGATGGAACCTGCCGGGTACACTGAAAGAAAGTTAAATATAGTTAAGTTGTGCTACCAAATCAAATCCAAAAGGACAATAACATGGAAAAAAACATGGAACCTGGGGTTGTATTGGTGTTGTTTAGGAATTTGAGGAACTTAACACCCTTCTGAAGTCACCCTTCATTGCGCAACTCGAGGATACAAAGAAACCATCAAATTTGGGTGTGCGGAGGGCCGTGGGCACACGGAATCTTCCCCAAATGTCTTGCGTACCTCAGAGGGCCCCAATGAATTGGAGGTAACTAAAGGACCGTTTTTGACAGACTATGTTTCCAGAAAGCCCAATATCCCTTTATGAAGGAATATAGCTTAATTCATGTCAAGGAACGTAGTACGATTTAGGTTATATTTTCTAATTCAGTGGTATTGCGCTCTCTGGGTCGGTGAGCCGGAGTCACACTACCGACGCGAAAGAAGGGGAGGGAAGGGCATGGGGAGAGGGAGAGGTACAGAAGATGCAAGAAGCCCGAAAATCATCGTAACCCCCGCACGTACCTGTGAAGTGAGACTACTATCCTACATTCACTGCCCCACTTCAACTTATGGGGGTGCAGTTGGTAGACCTTGCTGCCAAGGGTACCCTCAGCGTCCCTCCAGAAAAAGACGTTGTCCACGTTCAGGTTCCCATGGCTCCAGGCAATGTAGTCCTTGCCCATCACCGAACCCTTGACAGAAAATGGTTCCCAAGTAGAAGCACGACTGAGTGCGCAGCATTCAGAACGCATGGGCAGATTGCCAACATCCATCCAAAGTGTCAAATGTGGTGACTCTATCAAGGAAGTTGGTGGGAGGGTCCCGTGGTCCTTAAAACTCCCAAGACAGAGTTCAAGGGGCTGACACGGGCCTGCTCAAAGGAGCCAAGTCCCCAATAGGCACCAATGGGTCCTGAATCCTGTTAGCTTCCCTACAAGAAGAACAATAAAAAGTTTAAGATAAGGGCTCCCGAACTTACAGAGAGTCCCTGTTCGACCAAAAGATGAGGTCCAGTTTGGACTCATCATCTCCACCCGTCATTCCACTACTCCCCAGCCACAACGTAACACACAGTAGAATTGGAGAACATGCAATCTTGGAGGCAATCTAGTGTACAAGGGATCTGTGTGAACCTCCATCCTCTGCGCTTCGCCCTACACCTCATCACGCTGGCCACTAATTAGTAGTGACAAGGCGCCGGGTTCCGGTTGCACCACCAAACAATCTCGTTGTTGTAAGCATCCACGGTGGCTAAGACCTTCCTTGAAAAGCCGGCTGGGATTCTTCCGCTCTTGGCTACCGGGTCGACGGGCTACGAGGGGGAACATCAATTCCATTGGGCTGTAAACTACTGTATGCATGATCATGAAGGCCCCCTCAACACGAACTAGGTTTCTCTTAGTCCAGAAGAGAAAGAACTTAGAAACGGGCGGTGCTTAATAGTAGTTTCCGTCTTCTTTTCCATTATCCCTATACATAACCCAAAGAAAACTCTATATATAAACCCTATATAACTTTTCTGAGGTGGATCAGCGGACTGGAGCTCACAGTCACTAGCCTGTTTGGCAAGTAGCACCACACGTCAGTGGCCCATCCCCAGGAGCGCCGATTCTTCAGCACAACACCTGAAACTCCTAAATGCTAATCCTCAATCCCTATATCCAACTGTGCATGCAGGAAATCTTCCACCACCTGATATACACGACCCGAAGAACTATGGCCTTATGAGGTTCCTAAGCAGTGCACGATTCCTCTGTCCAGCCAGTGTAGGCTCCAGCAACCCTGAACGTTTTGAGGACAGTGAGTCTTCCACATCGCCGGACCGCGGACGAAAAGACGACCCTCGCTCACTCCCAACAAACCACAGGCTCCTACAGAGGCAAGAGACAAGTCCTCAACAAGTCATTTGGTAGTTTCCCAAAATAAGGGGACCCCAATATAGACCCCAAAATACTATAGTCCTTATTATAGGGACCCCCAAAAGGGTACCCCTAATTTTGGGAAACTCCCATTTTGGTCGCGAAGCACAATCTGCCCTGGTGAAACGCTGGTACATTAGACGCTTTCGCTGGGTATAGGGATAGGGATGCAGTCTCGTTCATGACCTCCTCCCTTTGCACCGCGTAGCCCGAACAATCCTACGGCAAACCCAACCTGGAAACCACAACCACCGAGCTCCCACCCCACATGCATCAAAAGGATGCGCCCCAAGCCTCTGCGGGGACCTACAGGGAGGGGCCTCGAAGATACAATCTTGGCTATAGATTGGTTGTACTGGCGATAAGAACCACAAGTTGCAAGTCCAAGAAATTGTCGCAATGGGCTTTGAGAGTATACTGATGTAAATAGGGGCAACGCGCTGTACTGCAAAAACATGAGTTCTCACGGATATCATGATGCTGGATTCCTTGCATAATGGTAGAAGGTAAAACGACTAGACCTCAAAATGACATGAGTAATCAATTTAGACCCTGAATGTACTCAGTACACACACCTCTTCAACCGCATGGGGGCAAGGACTGGTCCCTAAGCCGTAGGAAGGGATCACTTCAGTACTTGAAGGCTCAGTGCAGCTACAAACCAATTACAAGCCCTCTAAGCCCCCTGTTTTGTTTATATTAAACTTGGGATATAATTAGCACGTGACTACCCTTTGCATCTGGGCTCGCACACACAGAAACCCTAAACCACCGTATGTAGACCCCATCTGATCCCCAGGATAATCTTGGCGGAGCCTTCGCGAGTGGCCTACACAGCGTGACACAGAGCACCAATAGATGGGAAACCCGTGACCCAAAACCCTAAACCCCATATATCCCTATTTATACCCCCTACATCCTCCCTTCAAAGTACCCCGAATTCTGGGAACCCTAGGGGGCGTTTCAGATCTTAAGCCCCAAACCGCTTGGCAATCCCAAGTACCATGGGACATAGAGGGACTACACAGGCCTTCTAGGGATGATATATGGGTAATACGGGGTTCTACAGGCCACACAGGTTTTAGGGTTGAAGGTTTAGGGTTGAGAAACTCCCAGATCCGAAACCAGGTCCGACACAGAGCTTTGCCCCTAGTTACATCGGCATCCGTATAAGTCCCACAACTAAGACTTGAAGGACTTGTAACTACACGTATCCCTATCACAAGTTGCTCATAACCCAAGACATAACTTCTGGCCCGTTGCCTGTGGCCCGCTACCTCTATACCCAAGACAAAACCAGACCCTTAAACCCTGAACCCTCTCAATCCTTAAACCTTAATCCCTAAACCCTAAATTCCTCAAAACCTATAGACCCCACACTTAATCGCTAAATCCCCAAACTCCTCCCCTTAATGAAGGTTATGTAGGGGTAATTCGGCTTCATTAAGGTTAATTAATTGGGGGAACCCCTCAACCCTCAACCCCAATTGACCCTAAATCCTAGACCCCAAACGGCGTAGAGGAACCTTGCAGTTCTGTCCAGGCTCTTGTAAGACTGCAAAAACGCCGGCGTGGTGCACTCAGGCCGAAAGAGAGCCTTTCCTTCCGTCAGGGATTTAGGGTTTAGGGTCTACCCCAAAATTTGAAAACTAAATTGAACAGACAATTGAAAATTAAATGGAGCCCCGAAAACTCTGGTTTATCCAAAGTAGTATAATCCCACATGGGTACAGCCAATGAGTTGGAACCTCGCCACTTTACGGGCTCTGCTGTTGATCCACAAATCCCGCATGACTTCAGCATATTAGTTACTAGAACATCATCATGGTTTGCAACATGTTGAGTACCAACGTGTACCAACTGTAGTTCTACCAGAAAAAGCAGATGCGAGTTAGGTTCCACTGCAGGGTCGCCACCCATCATGCCAAGGTTAGTCCACGAATTTCGCTCTGAGACTTCAACTGGGCTCCAGTCAAAACTCTTAGCATTCTGTGTAATAAGCCTTATAACAGGAACCCGGTATAGTCCCCAACATAAACCCCTTTAGATTATAGCTCAACTGCGAACGCACTGCCTGTGGTTCCCACGAAGTCCACACCCATCTTCAGCTTCACTTTGAGCTGACTGTCGCCCATGCCGGTGCTTTCCTTTTATGAGGCTCAAAGTATGAGTTGTAGAGGATGATGGTCTCTTATTCTGCTGCCCCAGAAACGTAGTGTGACCACGTAGCCCCGTGAAAACAAACAGCCCAGTCGTTTTTTCTTTTTTTTATAAACCTCCCTACACTGATTTATGGAACTGAGAAAGTCACGGGGAATGCTGACAGTAGCCGCGCATCAGCAAACATTGCAGCTGAGCACTAGCAAACACAGCAGCTGAGAATAATTAAAAGCATGCGCAGTATACCCATAGTATACAACCCTAGACACCCTTTCTAATCTCAAATGTCCCTATGGAATCGTCTATATAACCTCCGTATATCCCCATTAAACTCATATCCCTATGTATCCTCTATATAACATCCATATATCCCTGTTCTGCACGCCTAGAATCCCATATAACAATATAAACTCACACATCCCTATACAACCCAGACGAACAGTCAGTTCGCAGAAAAGTTACTTTCCTCATTCCGTAGAACTCCTTGGGCTTCCAGCCAGGGCCGAAAAAGCATTCCTGAAGCTCATGATGGTTGAGAGTTCAGAGGGCTCAAGGTCTAGAATTCTCATAGGCGCCAATTCAAGAAGAGAAATCCTGGGGCTATTAGTATTTGACTTTAAAAGTAATACGTACTTTGGGCCCTGGCGTCTAGAAATAATACCTACTTGGAGCTCTTAGGTAACATGGATGTAACATGGGCACCTGCCTGAAGGACAGTTATCCACACAGCCTTGCTGAAACAGTGTGTAACCTTTTCAATGTGCAGACGACACTTCGGGAACTAGAGTCTCATGAGCACGAACAGCTTGGTGTTTGCTCCTGCAGGCTTAACGTCTGTGTCTTGGGCCGAGCCTCTGTTGACCCGGTCCCGGTGAGTATATCAACTCAGTCTCTCAGTTCTTGCTGTGCAAATTTAAATGTATATATACCGCAGACACGCCACCGATGGACTCGGTCGTTCGTGCTGCTTCAAAGACTCTCATGGTCCCGAGGCCATGTTTAAATGTAGCCTCAAAGGAAAAACTGCCCCAGCATCCCGGCGAGATAGCTAAGAGCCTCTAGGCGCATGTCTACTGCAGCAGACTCAGGCAGCCTTTGGGCTTGGCTTCATGACCGGGATGAGACCACCAGCCACCGCCGCTGTGATGGCGGCCGGGATCAATGCTGCCTGCGCGCCCCAGGTCTTGTGGGTCTCCATGGCTGCCACACCGCCAAGTCCGAAGAAGAAGATGCCAGCTCCAAAGAGGAGGACCTTGAGCAGGGTGGGTGGCTCAGCGCCATCTGCCTGTGCGCGGGTCCACAGACCCAAGCCAACGCCAAAGTCCGTCAGGTAGCCGGTGAAGTGCGTGGTGCACACGG